GGGGAAAGATCGCCAAGGGGTCGATAAACTCTGTTAAAGTTTTTATACCGCGTTGGAGGGCTAAGGTGACCCTGAAGGTTTTGTTGTTGTTGTTTTGGCCGGGGCTGGGTTTGAACCCGCCACCTCTGGCATATGGGGCCAGCGCCCTACTCCTTTGAGACACAGGTAGCTCCCGACACTGAAGTTTTTTAAACAGAGTGGTGAAAAAATTAATAAATAAACAGGGTGGTGACAAGATCAGATTATCCTGGGGTTGACAATTGGAGAACCCATTCTGTAGCTGCCATTGGACCAGGACCAACTCAATGAGAGAAGACCAATTAAGAAACTAATGCCCTGCTTAGAGGAGGCCTGGCAAGGGTGTGAACTGTGCCATGGATAGAAGTAGATATCTCCAAGAGGAAATGCCGGGGATAGAAATCAGATGTGGTGATTTAAGACAAGTATATAAGCAAAGGGACGAAGGAAATGGGGCTTCCTGGGTTAAGGGTTTGAGAAAAATTAACTCTAATACGTTATGTTATTATTTACTTTTGTAGACTTTTTAAAAATTTACATACTTAGAGAAATGGGTACTTTTTGTTGTTGCTGGTTTGCTTTTTGTGTAAAGTACGATGTATCATTTAGAATTGACAGAGCTGAAGGAAAGAGAGAATTTAGGAAAACCTAATCTGACTTACCACAAACAGTAGTGACTTGAAATGTACAGTAGCTTTTGACAAGTACAGAGGCAGATAAACTCCCTGCCACGGAGGACTTGTGCGTGCCATTCACACCCGTGGTACTGGCTTCTTTCAGATTCAAAAACGTATGTTCCAATTTCCAGTTATTTGAATCACATGTGAGTAAAGGGGCACGGATTTTAATTTAATTCAGCTCATCAGATATTTTTTGAGCAACCCATCGTGATATACATATGTCATCTGAGACATCATCTAGAGGGAAAAATACAGTTCCTGGCAAAAGATGAAGGTTTCAGTTGGTGGTCTAGGCCTTGATTTCTCCTCAAATGGAGGCTGCTTTATCGAAATGATGGTAGCGTCCTATTCGCTTCCCAGTTTGCTACAAGCTTCAATTATGAATATTGTTTGAGGATATGTGTATGTACATAAAAACATGTGTATATATGCATATGTTAATACTAAAAATATACACATACATAAATTTCATGTGGCAACTCAAATTTTCCTAAAGTTGTCACATACATATTTTTGCTTCTTGCATCCTTTCTCCTGGCCTTTTTCTGCCCAGCACTGTATACCTTCGCTGCGTAGAAAATGTGCTGTTGTGTTTCCATCGGGCATGTTTCACTCTAAACATAACACTGATGAAGCACAGCGGCATCAGGACCTGCTGCCGAGTCTGGCATCTTCTAGTGTCTTCACTGCCTTATGGGCTCATGATTATTTAACAAGGTATCCTTGGTTACCAAGCACGGCCATAGGTTCCGAGGAACCTAAGACTATATACCAGGAAACCAGGCAGGTATGGTAAATAGTCGATGTTCCATATGATCCTCCAAAAGTGTCTCTAAGTTATTTTTCAATTTCAAGTAAAGGAAAAAAATCCTTCAGACCCATAAACAGAGTGAAATAAAGCCTTAGAAAGTATACTTTTCACCATTTTTCGAACTTATCCGATGCATAGAGAGAAAAACCAACCTTGACTTTTCAAAACCTTATTATCCAGGGGTAAATTATTCCCAACCTTTGATTCTCCTCTTTTATTTTTTTTCTCTTTGTTCTTTATATATTTGATGTCCACTGGTATTTTTATATGGAGTGGGTAGGATGAAATTCAGACTAATTTTACTTGGTATTTTAAAAAAGGTTTACTATGGTGGCCACTTTTCCTGTTGATTTAAAGGACATTTAGAAATCGGTTATGGGCATTACTTATTTTATCAAGGTCCCATTAGCTTATTTTGTTTAGAACCTGCTTGTTATCACCAAGAGATAAAAAATGTGACCGTGCATGCACAAAGATAATAACCATTCCTTACAACCTGGCCGGTACACATTGTTACCAAGCTCTGTTTTCAAGGTTAACCTGAGAATAGATTTAAAAAGCTCAAAAGCATTGGAATTTTCTAACGCAATCAAAAATCAGAGAGGTTAAGTCTGGGTGAGATAACAAGGGGCTTTAATTAAAGGGTTTATTTGCTTGAAATATTGACCTCTCAAGCATCTCTGACATGTTCATGAGAGAAGGTTTCACTGATTATGCATGCCAAGAGCTCGTTAAGGATATAGCATAAAGAAGATAAATTACAAAGTCAAAAAGGTGAACCAGGGAAATGGAGGTCACAACAAACTAAATGCAAGGCCCACAACTTATTGGTTTTTGTACCTTGTTCAACGTTAAGTGCACTGAGCCTCTCAGTGGCAGATACAAGCAGGGGATAAATCCATGGCCCGAGTGGGTATATGTATATCAATTGGGAATAATACACATAATGTAACGTCAGTTATTCCAGTGCTTAAATGTTAAAAAATTTCAAGGGCATAATATTTATGCTATGTAGCAATTGTATCGATACACAGAATTTTTTTTTCCTTTCTCCCAGAAATGAAGTACTAAGACAGAAATTTAGGATTCTGATATAATTAGGAGATATTTTTGTGATAGGTGGGTGATTGAGGACAGGAAACCTCTTATAAAAAGATTTCTGAGTACCAATAGTTTTCACTTATGTATAGTTATATGAGCTATATTTGTTATCCAACTCCCATAGTATTTACCATTTGGAGATATTAAAAAAGATAAGATCCAATGTTTTTACCTCCATCTTCAAAATCTCAAGTGATAATTGGATGGCTTAAGGTATTAATACTGAGATAACACACAGGATTGAATAGACTTGCAAGAATCAGATATGTTACATTTACCAAAAATACAGGCAAGCAAGGGACAGAGACAAAAGGGAGAGATTACAAGACGTTCTACATGGACGTCTCCAAGGAAGTTTTCACACGTTTACCTCTCACACCAGGAAGCATTTATGTTATAAAAGATCTCAGAGTTTCCCCTAGAAAATATTAAGCTTCAGGACATTTTCCAGGGGGCCACTAATCATTAATCCATAAATCCTGGGATTATTCAGTATAATATTTCCTTTGCCTGTGATATCCTGCTAAAGGTTTTATCTATAAAGACTCTTCCTCCTAGTGAACATAACTAGTTTCTTTTATTTAATATTACTAATTGATCATCCTGGAACCTGGAGTGCCGGTTAACAAGTACGTTAGACACACCCTTCCTTATACACATCAGTAAAGGAAGCAAATAGATCCAAGACAGCGGCTTTAACTCTTATCTCCCCACGTTTTAATCAATGAAATGGAACTGAGTTGGATATTGACGAAATGTCTTTGGAAGCCATCTCGTATTCATTCATGTCTATTAATGAATTTTGGATATCCAGTACACTTTTAAAAAAAAATCATGACCATGTGTACAATGTCTAGGAGAATGGAAAGCTTCCAACATCAAAGAGTTAAAGAATGGTGCGGGTAACAATAATGATAATAACATTAATTAGGCTCTCACCATATGTCAAACACTCTTCTAGGTTGTTTACTTGTATTATAGTAGAATCATAATAATTTTCGGCGTAGGCACTATTACTTCTCCTATTTGGCAGATACAGAAACCGAGGCATGAAGAAATTAAATTACTTAGCCGGGTTTACATTGCTAGTAAATTCTGGTGCCACTGGTGAAATCGAGGACATGTCAGCTATGTCGTATGTTAAAAGAGTGCAGGCATAGCAAATCCAATAGGCTTTGTGTTAATAAAACTGGATAGGAGAGTAGTAGATGGATAATAAAGAAATAATGGTCAAGGATTTACTTTTTTGATTATTACTGTTACAAAAATAAAGTAGATTAGTGAAATTAATGTTTAAGGTGGCAAAACATCAATCAACATTAGTTTATTGAATTCCTATTATGAAATTAGCATCAAATGATAAGTAAAAAGGCATAGATGAAGTAGGAAATATACTAGACAGCATAATACCAGCCAAAAAGAAAAGTACTGAAAATGGAGTTACAGGTTAAGGCAAGTGAGATGTGTTTAAAAGCAACATCATAGAGATGTTAATTGAAGCAATTCACAAGCGGAGGTAATTTGCTGCCCAAATAAATGTTATTAACAAGCCAGAATTTCAAGTTAAATATACTTTAGCATTGAAGTGACTCGGAATGTGATTTTCATTTGTAAAATCCTAAATAATAGGAAGGCTGATAAACTAAACTGAGAAAAGAATGATAAACAACAGAGAGAGAAACATGACCTACATTGCCATCTGTTGGAAAAGTGCACATCTGTCATGTTGAGGGAAAGATGAGGCTTGGAAATTCCCAGTGAGTCTCAACATCCACTGTTGCTAGTTAGTTAAGAGCAAAAAGAGATTTCAGACCTAAGTTGGCTCTCAAACCTAAGTTGGCTTTCTTTTACTTTTAATGTGAAAAATATATTTAAATAAGAAGGGAAAACAAACGTCTAATAATTTAGAGGCTATGGATTTTAAGGCTCCCAGGTGTGATTTTAGCTCAAATCTGAATGGACTTCTGCTAGAGCAAAGAATATTATTGAAGTTTGCCATGAGAGTCGATTTTACACACTTGAGAATCAATTATTTTTCTGGCTAATGGACCCATGTAAGTCACAAGGTGAGGAGGTAAAAACTCTAGCCTGGAATTTAGTCTCAGTTCTCTCGTGGTGTCCTTTTGAGCAGCTATTGACTCTTGGGGTCTAAATTTCTTTGTCTGCAAGTGGACAAGATTGAATTAAGTGATTTCTAAGATTACTTTCAACTGTACTAAAAATGGCCCATTAATAATTGCATACTTGAAAAAAATAAATAAAACTAATTGCATACTTGCAGTGCTTATTTTATAGATAGAAGTAGAATTCATAGAACTTCCTCTTAACGTTGTATTACTATTGTGTTTTTATTTCTAGAATTTAACACCAGCATCTGTTCTCTTCTTTAGGGTGGAGTTAATGGGTTGACCGGAGAGCTAGAATTTGGAGAAAATGGAGGCAATCCCAATGTCCACTTTGAAATTCTTGGAACCAACTATGGAGAAGAGCTTGGCAGAGGCGTTCGCAAAGTAAGAGCAGACACACTGATAAATACGCTTTTTCTGATACTGTGGTTTCTCTTGATTGTTCTCTATACAACATGATCACAGAATAAATGAAAATGCACAGTATAGTTTTAAAGAGAGAAAGAATCAGGCCTTGGTATGATAGGCCAGAGGTATTAAGTAACAAATTCTACATATGCCTTGGAATAATTAAGGGGAAAAAAAAATCTGATACCTGCCTAGGGAAATGGCATCATCTTTCATTCACAATAATAAGAATATTTTTATGATGTAAATTTAATATTTATACAGTATATAGCTTCTTGGTTTTAACTTATAATATGCACAAAATCAGAATATCAGCTTGGGTAATTTAATTTCATATAGTTAGATAGAAACTCAGCTATAAAGTGCTACAGTATTTCAATCTCTACCTGTGTCATGTAATAAGTCAAAAATAGATTGCATAAAATGGTCTCTTCCAGTATACTACTGATCAAATGTAAGAAGCTGAGTGTCAGTAAAGGATGTTTCATGAAATATGGGGACAGTAACTTTCTCAAGAAGTATAAAAGCCTGTGGAGAAATGACTTTTCTGTGGTTTGGATTTGTTAATTTTATATATTTTTGGTAGAGAAAAGCCTAAGGTAATTGAATGCATATGCAGAGCTAATGATATGAATTTCTGAGTGTGTCAAGTTGATTGCGTCAAGGGTAAGAGGTCTTCAGTGGGTATTTCTTTCTTGTGCTGAGATATCAGATGCAGAAAAACCTAAACAAAATCAAGTTAGGAGTTATTCTAATCAGCAATAAAATTTTCTCAGTAAATGTGTATGAAGGAAGTTAAAACTATATTAATGAGTTATTCATTATTTTGTCTTCTACAAAAAGATAATTCGATGAATTATTTTAAAGGAAATAACCACTAGTATGATTAGGAAACATACTCAATTGTTTTGTTCATTTTTCTAAGATTTGTATTGCTGATGGAATTGTAGTCTATGAACATAATATATCTTAAATTTCATTCTCTGATTATTGCTGTATATCAGAATAACTATGATATTTTATATTGATTTTGTATTTAAGCCTCTTCCTCAGATTTCTAATACTAGTAGCTTATTTGTAGCTTCTTGTGAATTTTCTGCAAATGGTCTTATCATCTGCAATTAATGAGAATTTTTATTTTTTCGTTTGCAATTTTACACTTTTATTTTTTCTTGCCTGAGGGCACCAATTAGGGCCTCTAGGATGATATCAAATGGAAGTAATAGTGGTATGCCTTTTTCAATCGTGATCAATCTCAGAAAAAACATTTCAACAGTATACTACAAAATGTAATGTTTTTGTTCTTTTTCTTTTTTATTAACTTGGATCAGATTAAGAAAGCTCTATAAATTCCTGATATATGTGTCTATATAAATTTTTATGTAAAATTAGACTTACTTAAAATTATAATTATGTTTCCATTGATGTTTGCCACTGAGGTTGCCTTCTAAAGTTTTGCTGGCCTAAGTAACGTAAACGAGTTAGTAGCATGAAGTCCCCTGAACTGTTGTTCAGTACATTAAAAGATGTTATACTTAACTGTGATTGATGGGAGAGATCTCAGTAGAATGTAAATGCCATGTACTTAAATAGCAATAGTAGCAAAGTAAAAAGGAAGAGTAAGAAGATCACATGCTTGGGTGGTAATGCAAGGGCTTGGGGAGGTTGAGGGAGAAGTTTTAAAATATAAGAGACTTCACTAGATTTGAAGGCTCACAGACCAAGCCAGTAGAGTGGAAGAAAATGAATATAAAGAAAAGAAAGGTGATCAGGAGAAAGAAAGAGGGGATAGAGAGGACTGGATGAAGAATTAGATGGGGAGAGAGGGGGACAGTTAAGGACATATTGGAATATTTGCAAGTTTTCATATTTGGTGTTAGCAGTGGTGCACGTGTCTCAAAAGCATAGGGCGCTGGCCCCATATGCTGGAGGTGGTGGGTTCAAGGCCAGCCCCACCCTCCAAAAAATCATATTTGGTGTTAGGGAGCTAAGGAAATTGTTAAGAAATAGATTATCTTTTCCTGGAGGAGTGGGGGGTGAGATTATTCGCTAAGAGGGAAAAAGTAATAGAAGACATTGGACATCGTGAGGCTGGAGATTTAAAGACCATGAAAGAGTTAAGAGGAAAAAGGAAAAAAGAGTTTTGAAATACACATAGCTGGCGTGGCAAACCAGAGAATGATGAGTGGAGAGCATAGAAGAGTCGCCAGGCACGGCTGTTGGCTCATTTGAGGCTGGCGATCAAGGGATTGCGATAGCACTCATCTACACAGTTGTGTTTGTCTAGCAGCATTCAACAGACTGTGTCAATTTGAATTAATGTAGGCTTGGGCTTTCAGCAGGTTGTGTTTTGTTGTGTGTTGTGTTGTTTTGTTTTGGATAGCAGTACTACGCGGCAGGGAGATTGAGGATATTGGCATGAGAGAGGTTGAAGAAACAAAGTATAAAATCTAAAGGAACCAATGAAGGCAAGAATTTATCAAACTTCAAATCTGGCTCCCAAGTAATTTTAAGACGAGCATGACTTAGTTTGTAGGTCACCAACTTCAACTATAAATGGGGCTATCCTTCATACAAGCATTGACACATATAATAATGTTTTTAAGGTACTTATCAAGGGAAAACATTACCATGCAAATAATTGCAATAGAGATTTACTATCTGTGTGTCCAAAATTAAAGTTCCAGTCCCAGTTTCTCCTTGTCTCCACAAGAGTAAATGGCTTTCCAGTTGATGAACTGTCAAGTTGTCAGTCTTTATTCTGCTGCCAGTGGCTAAGTGTGTACAATGCCCGAAGCCTTATCACCTGGAGCAGGGATCCTGTCAGATCCCATAAACTAAGCAGCATTGTGTCTGCTCAGGATTTGACTGTGAAATGTACCAGGGATTCCAGTTCCAAATTTTGGACTAGTCTCCGCTATCCTGGCATTGTATGAATGAAGGTTTCATCTTTTTGAATTTGGTGAAAATGCAAAAAAGATTATCTAATTTTCACTGCTGGTGATCAACATGAAGAGCTTTCCTGCTTTGATATTTTTCACATTTTTTTTTTTTTTACTTTGATGTAAGATGTTGTTTCATTCAGGAGATGGTATAGTCAGGGTATGAGCATATTGTGAATCCTTGAGGATAAATCAAGCAAAACTCAAAGCCAAATTTTGAAATCACCAAGATATTCTACATCCTAAACTTTGCTCAGTAATACAGTTATTCTTGTTTCTCTTCATTAAAATACAGAATTTCCAAGAAAAAATTAAGTAATGCCATTCTACCAAATCATCTAATACTAAACTTATTTTAAGAAGAAATAAAAAGTAAATATTAAATTAGTTAACTCTACTTTTAAGGAATCAATGTGTATTTTATTCATAGAATAAAAATTCTACATAATAGCTTTTCAGCTTGTCTGAATTTTCTTTCCTTTGCTAGGTTTGCCAATGCTGTTCACATTTTATTGTGAACACTGACTTTTACCATTAAAATCTAATACTCTAGACTTAATGTCTTTGAACTTTATCACAAACAGGAAAATAAGGCTAGGCATAGTATATTAAAGCTGCTTTCATAGCCAGTCTTAATGGCATAGTAATGCTTAGTATCTTCATAAAGGCATTTTCTCATAAGTTAATAAAATAAAATGGCACAGCAGAGATATTTTCGCTAGTAGGTACAATGGTTTCTCAGATATTCTTACAATCTTTACTCAGGTCCTCTAACTTTAAATTCACAACTATAAAATCTACAGCTTTGAAACCCAATGTACTATTTTTGCAAAGCGTATTATGTAAATTGTCTTGGTCCATTTTTAATGAACTGAAATCTATTGCTGCCTTGTACTTAGAAGGAGGAAAGAACCACCTTGCCTTCTGATGGGCAAGGATTAAATGTTATCTCTAACATCATATTTATACTCTGATGTTAGAATATCTAGAATGGTACAAATACCTTTTTGTATTACCCTGCTTTATGATTCCTTATATAGCCCTTTCTACAATGGATATTCTATGTATGCCTGTAATTATATATATAATCCTCTTACATGTGTCTAGGTAGATATAAATATAATTAATTAATTTTCTTATAGTTGGGTTTGCCGTCACCATGTAGCTCCTTGAGATAGGAGTTTTGTTTGTTCCCAGCTATCCCCTGATGCATGGCATATAATAGATGCTCATTAAGTATTTAACGAATGTGCATACTGACATAAGAATCCATTATATTCCCTTCTGCTCCTGTAAGTTTGGCAGCATTATTTTTTCTTTATTTAAATGAAAAATAAGTTTTTGCATTTAAATTAATTATAATGTTAGTGCATGGTTAAACTTTTT